AAATTTAAAAATTCAAAATATATTTCATTATAATCTTATTATTTCAAAATTATATAAAATTTATTTATTTAAAAATATCGGAAAAGGACTTCTAGGTGTCTTAAGACAGCTCTTTTTTGATATTAATAAATATTAATTTAAATAAAATTAAATAATAATTTTTATAATATTTAATTTTAAAATACCAGAATATGACATCCAATTGTATTAAGACTGTCCTTTTCTTTGATATTGAAAATAAATATTAAAATAATTTATTAAAAAAATAAATTATTATTTATATATATATGAATACATAATAATAAAAATATTTAAAAATATAAACAAGTAAAAAAAAAATACAACTAGAACGATATATTTAAAAGCAGTAAAATAAATGAAAACATTTAAAATAAATGACTAAATTATAGCATATTAAAATTAAATGATTTAATTCACAATTAATTATGTATATATAAGGGCTAAGCATGTTATTTGCCTATTATAAATTTAGTGACTAAAAAAAATTATCTTAAATTCGAATGCCAAATTAAAACATGCATTCGGGATTATAATAAAACTAATTATAATTATAGGACTAAATCTGTTATTTACCTAATATATATTCTATGTAAATGACTAAATTATAATAAAGTAAAATTAAGAAACTAATTTAAAACATTTGAAGTTTTATTTCAGTGACTAAATCGTAAGGATTACAAACTATAGTGACTGTGGAAATGGTTTACCCATGATGGAAATTACACGCACACCCCTCCCCCAAAACGACGTCGTTCGGGGAGGGGTTTAAATACCCCGAATGGCCGGCCATTTTCTTCATTCTCTTCTTTCTCTCTTCTCTCAATAAATGAGAGAATTAAAAATTCTCTCTGACTCTCTCAATGGAGAGAATCCCGGCGACCACGGGCCACCGTTCTCTGGTGGCGATCGCCGCCGCCGACCACCGTTAATGGTGGCCGGAAATTTACAAAACCCCCCCCCCAGAAGATAGATCTGAACACCCTAATGACAGTTCTAGTATCCTTTTTCCCTAAATCTCTTTAGATCGATGTAGATCTAAATTTTTACCTTCGAAAAAAAAACTCCGATGACCCTCGGTATTTCCGGCAATGAGCGAAGCTTCAAGGGTAAGTTCCTCTTCTTCTCTTCGTTTCTGTTTTGGTTTACTGCTGGTTGTGAGTTCGTGGCTTGTCTCTGTTGCTTGTTTCCCGTTCTGTTCGTCTCTCGTTCTCTGTCTATCTCTTCTTTCATGGCTTCCTCCTCCCTCTCCCTCCTGTTTTGCAGGCTTTTCATGGCTTTTATAAGCCTTGACGAGGCTCTCATCGGACCAGTTCAAAGGAGTTTTTCTGGTGAGTCACCAAACTAGGTGGTGACTCACCCCATAGCTGCGACGTGGACGATCGGAGTCGTGGAAGTAGAGCTTCTGGAGTGTTCGTCAGAGGCGTTGTGGCAGTACTGAAGCGTCGGCAACGGCTGGACGAGACATCTGGCTTGGGCTTCTGGAAGTTTAGGCGTGGGGCGGCTGGAACTCACTGGAACTCTTAGAGCGGCGGCGGCGTCTGGAAGCTAGGGTTTAGAAAACCCTAGCTGAATGTTACAAACCCTAAAGGGTTTGGGTTCTGCTGGGCCAATTGTAATTGTAACCGGCCCCCAATTTTGGGCCTTGTAATATTTATTTATTTATTATTATTTTTTATTTAATAATAATAAAATAATACTAATAATAATAATAATAATAATAAAACGAAATGAAAAATTAATGTTTACAGCCCCCGAACGGCGTCGTTTTGGGGGAGGGGTGTGCGTGTAATTTCCATCATGGGTAAACCATTTCCACAGTCACTATAGTTTGTAATCCTTACGATTTAGTCACTGAAATAAAACTTCAAATGTTTTAAATTAGTTTCTTAATTTTACTTTATTATAATTTAGTCCTTTACATAGAATAATATATTAGGTAAATAACAGATTTAGTCCTATAATTATAATTAGTTTTATTTTAATCCCGAATGCATGTTTTAATTTGGCATTCGAATTTAAGATAATTTATTTTAGTCACTAAATTATAATAGGCAAAATAACATGCTTAGCCCTTATAATACATAATAATTGTGAATTAAATCATTTAATTTAATATGCTATAATTTAGTCATTATTTTAAATGTTTTCATTATTTTACTGCTTTTAAATATATCGTTCTAGTTGTATTTATTTTACTTGTTTATATTTTTAAATATTTTTATTATATGTATTCATAATATATATAATAAATAATAATTTATTTTTTAATAAATTATTTTAATATTTATTTTTCAATATCAAAGAAAAGGACAGTCTTAATACAACTGGATGTCTTATTCTGGTATTTTAAAATTAAATATTATAAAAATTATTATTTAATTTTATTTAAATTAATATTTATTAATATCAAAGAAAAGAGCTGTCTTAAGACACCTAGAAGTCCTTTTTCGATATTTTTAAATAAATAAATATTTTTATATAATTTTGAAATAATAAGATTATAAATGAAATATATTTTGAATTTTTTAAATTTTAATAATAGAGACAATTTATAATTAAAAAGTACCAATTTTGGGCGTTGTAGGGGTGCTAATCCTTCCCTAAACGTAACCGACCACGAATATCTTTTTATTATTAAAAAGAATGAATTTTTGGTTATAAACGCAGATCAGTTTATTTTTTTTATTTGATGTTTTCTTAAAACTCTTTTAAAAAAAATAATTTTTAGGTATTCGACCTACCTGACCCAAAAGGCCGATGGCGACTCCCAAATCATTTATTCACATTATTTTCCCGCCGAGTATTTAAAATTCGTGCCCGGACGAAAAACGGTTACGACATAATCAATAAATAGAAGACCGTAAATATTTAAAACTGTACATTTGTGATTTTGTTTCTACGATGCTATGAGTAATCTCTTAACTTCTTGTATCTTATTGCATTTATAATCATTCAAGCCCTAGCAGGCACGTACCTTGCAGCCATCGGTTATGTGAATCAAGTCCAAACTGCCAAAGCTCTAAGCCTTTCACTATTGACTACTACACTGAAAATACTTCAAGTTCTGGTTTGCTTGTTGAGAATATTTTACATCTTGTATCAGCTGGTGATCATACATTGAACGCTTGAATGCAGGCTTCTGTCATTTTAGGGTTACTTACTGATGATTACTGGCAACAATAGTTTCTTGATTTGATTTATTTACTGATTTATCCGGCATTGTCAAGGAATGGATGTATATCTAACCATGAATTATTTGTGTTATCTTTTCTTGAATGCAGATTTGGTATGAAGCAGAGTGGTGGTTACTTGGATGGTGTTGCTCCTGATGGTTTGATGGGTTTAGGACCTGCAGAAATTTATGTTCCAAGTGTCCTTGCAAAAGCAGGGCTGATCCGCCACTCTTTCTCATTGTGTTTTGATGAGGAGGATTCTGGTAGAATTTACTCATTTCTAGCCTTTGGATGGGACATATTATGGACTAATGCTGGGGGTGCACATGAGTTAACATTAATTTATTTGTTATTTTGTGAAACAGTTCCCACGAGCTGCTCGAGGTTCCTTACTTGAAGCTCATTTTACCTTTAAACAATAGCTTTGTGGTCATTAATCCCGTTTTTGTGGTCTATGGTATGCAGGTGCTTATTCTCTTTACGACATGGAAATTTATAGGTTTGCTTGCTCAAAATATTTTTAGAATGACAACTTTGATCATGAATTAGGACCACAAACAAGGATCTGTTATTCTGAAAAATATTGAAAGCAAAATAAATGTTGACCTCCCTTCTCTGAATTTGAAGAATTCTTCTTGCCTAAGTAGTGAGAAAGAAGAAATACAACGAGAAAACGATAATCCCTCATCTTCTTTTCACTTTTCCATTGTTCCTCCAATACCCATTTTACCACTCAACCAAGCAAAAGCTATATGTTTTAGATTCTACTCAACTTACAGCAGTTAGCTAACAAATTTAAGAGCATATCCTATCTTGCTAATTGTGCTTTTATGTTTTCTGGTTATTAATGTGGTGTGGAGTTTAAAGATGAAATCAGCAAATTAGATGGGTGAAAGATGTGTGATTCAGATGACTACTAAACTTAGTGATTCTGTCTAGCCATACAGCCAATGGAGGGGGATGTTGGGACAATTGGACGTATGCTACTGTATTTCCTTAATGCAAAACATGTTTATCTTATATTTCCTCTGATTCTGTCTGTGTTGATGTTCTTTTGCACAATTTATGCAATTTTTTCGTTATTCTCTATTTCTGCAGAGAATTTATTGATAGGGAAAAGATGAAGTCAGGTTGGTCATCCTCAAATTGTAAGTTTTATAGTCTTTGTGCATTCTGTTCCAAACCCGACCACATCAAGTCTTTTATCTACATTTCTTTTGCACGTTGTCGTTTAATCTTTTCCCCTAGATATCGGCACCACCATTCTCACACTTAGCTATTCTGTATGTATATCCATTTTCTTCTTTTCTATTTTTCCATATATATATATATATAAATCATTTATCTTCTGTAAAACGTATCAGCATCTGGGGTATGGGGTCTGGTGGTCTGATGCCATCAATTTTGTTTTGCCCGTCCCTGTGATGGCCTTGGATGGAACATATGGGCATGTGGCAGTAATATATAATGTGCATCAATTTTATTGTGTAGCGCCTAAACCCCAGCATAAATTATTTGCTTTAAGCTTTTGTTTGATTGTATAACAGATTCAGATGGAAATTCTTTTCAATTTTCAAATTCCAAAACATCATTCACCTTTGTAAAGATCATTTCCAAAACAGAATTGATAACTCAAGTGTACCAAAATTAACGATACATCAATTAAATATAACTATCAATAACGTAAGTGATAAAAATATAATTGTACCTATAGCTGCATGGTCTTTTATGCAGTCATTAATAAATATTACAAAAAGAATACAGATATGATGTATGGAGTGGATATTTGATAGTCATTAATAACTATCAAAGTTTGAATGATTATGGCGCCACGTTAAGGCCTGTAAAGACCTTGAGTTTGACCACACCCCATAATGGAAGCCGGCAACTTCCCCACCTTCTCAATCCCTTCCGCAAACACCACACCCATTCCCATGAAGAAATGGGATTCTATGTGGCAATGGAACGCCCACGCCCCCGGATTATCTGCTCTAAACCTCAAAGCCGTCCATCCGTAAGGATGTACCGGCACCGTGTTCTTCATTATCGGATTCACCAAATTGTACTTCCCCGGATCATTGAACTTATCAAACTTCCCTTCCCCGTACCCCAAAACCCAGAAATCATGCCCATGCAGATGCCATGGATGCGTCTCGCTGTTGTTCCGATTCATAGTGTTTGCATTCTGAAGTATAAGATCCACTGTCGTGTTGAAATCCAGCCTGTAAATTCCATTGCTCGACGTACCGTTTTTATTCGGTTGCACGATGAAGATATTATAGTTGGCGTCGTCGTATCCATTAGGGGGAGGGTTTTGATCGAAAGCGTCGGTTAGATTTTCCTTGAGTGCAATCAAGTACGGTGTTTTGGGATGCGTGATAGAGACATTGTTCACCGACCACCGTCTTCTTCCGTTAATCTCGTTTTGTGTGTTGAGCAAAACTATGACCCTGTCGGAGACTGCGGGAGGGGTGATGATATAGCCTTGGCGCGCTTTGATGGCCTGACTCTGCTCCATCCGAGGGCGGCTGTTGTTCCACATAGGGGCTGCCGGAGGGATTGTTGGAGGAGATCTCCTTAGATGATTTGGATAGTAAACGAAAACGCCCAGACCCGGAGGAGTGTTGGGTGCCAGTCGACTTACAATGTTCGATGTAATCCAATAATTTCTGGTGGGATCTTGATCGGCTGTTACTAGTACTGAGTATGTTTCCCCCGAGTATATGAACAAGTTTTGTACAACAAATGGCTCCACCAAATGCCCATCGGCTTCAACAACTGTCAAATTATGGCCCTGCATATAATCATTTGCAGAACACTCAAAATTTGAAGCAATTTACAATCGTATACAATGAAAACCAAGATAATCAGTTTAATTACCTCAATTTGGAAGCTGAGAGCTGACAAAGAAGTCAAACTGGAGATTCTCAATCGATATGTTTTTCCAGGCACCACTATTATTCTATAAGGGGAGCAGTCTGAATACGAGGCATTGCACAGGCCAGGGTCTGAACTTGGAACAGGTAAACCAGAACAGTTGAACCTTCCTCTCCCATGGATCAAAAGTGACTGAAAATTTCAAAATAATGTAAAACAATCATTACTAAGTACTTGTAGAAACAAAGGGTTGAATCAATTTCTTTGTCAAAATCAGGTACTGATGTTCACCTGAGGCTCTCCGATCCATTGGAACGGAACCGAAGCCAAGCCGACAGCTTGGTCAGTTGTGGTGTTATGGTACCAATCATTGAGGATGATGTTCCTATCATAGTCATACGTAAAAGGTTCAGCTTCTCCTTCAGGAAGTCCCACAATGATCGATCCATATAACCCAGCTTCTCTTTGCATCCCATAATGTGCATGATACAAGTATGTTCCGGGCTAAACAAAATTCAACTCTAAGTGTATAATTTGATATAAAAAATCGCACCGAGAGCTTTTCGAATGATGAAACTCACTCTGTCAACGACAAACTGATAAGTGAAAGTGGTTCCAGGCAAAACTGGACACTGTGTTACTCCTTCAGTCCCATCAAACCAAGGCGTTCCAATCTGTCGACAATAAAAGAAAGAGAGCATTTACAAACGTTTAGGTGAATCGTGCAACACGAAGATCATTATAGTAATAAGTAAAGAAATAGACCTGTCGAATTCCATGCCAGTGAATAGCGAGATTCTCCGTAAACAAATTGTTGGTGACTTGAACAATGACTGTGTCATTTTGCCGGACCCTGATCGTAGGACCTGGAGTTTGACCATTGATGGTTAAAACCAGTTTCCTGAAGCAATCAGGGGCCTTGTATTCGTTCTTCACTTCCCATTTATACCGACGAATTCTACCCTCGACACCGGAACTATTTAACAAAGCTATAATTACTGTTCGAGAGAAAATGACTCCTCCTATATATGAGTATGGTTGAGGAAGCTGTAAAGAAAAATGGGAATCAAAGTTGGACATTTTCGAAGTAGTAGCCAAGAAAGCTACTTGCATCCATTTATTTGACCAAGAGATATGAATAAATCAGCAAATAAATGGTGTTGCCAATTCTTCAAGCTTTTGAGTTTGAATAAAATAATAAAGACTTAAAAGTCAATAGTCTTATTTTGGAATGGTCCAAACGAGGCAAAGTATCTTTGGAATGTGTTTTTCCTTCCAGATGATAATGATGGAATGGTTATCTTCAAGGGTTTTTGCTTAACAGGGAAAAACTATATAACTTTCAAATATTTATCATATTATATTTATTTGGGTAAACTACCTATTTAGTTACTTACATATTACTTAGTTTCTGTTTTGGTCATCCTATTGTTATCTTTTTTGAAAAATAATACATAATGTTAAATTTTGTATCTATTTAGTCACCATCCATTAAAAATTTACCCTATTTATTTTATATAGTTGTATCACATTCTTTTAATAATCTAAGGTGATTGCAAAGTAATATTTATTTAAAATATTTCTTAACTATTAGTAATGCACGTACACCTATAGATATAGTTGCTTAAACTCATCACCTTTAAAAAAAATAATATTTTTTCAATCAGAGATTATTTGAAAGGTTCATCAATTCACTTAGGATATTTTAAGTTGTGTATTATATCATGACTCAAATTTTCAAACTTTACCTACCATGAGTTTTGATCGCTGAAAAAAAATCAAATATAGGTGCACTACTTGACGAGTAAGTCAACGGATTTAGAAAATCAGTTAAATTTTACAGTTAAAAGTTTTAAGGTAATTTAAAAAATTTTATTTAAAATAAAAAGCTTAAAATTATATTTTAAAAAAATCCCAAAGTTTTAAAAAAAATTTAAAAAAATTCCAAACTTTGAAAACCCTAAATATAATCTTTATACTCACACCATTACTGCCCTTTACTGTTGATGTTGTCATTGACTAAATCTACCCCCAACCGTATCTCCACCTAAAGACCACCCACGTGATGAACATCCACCGATGGTGCGATTTAAATTGATCGACAATACGGCATTTTGGGAAATAATCGCGACATTTGTGTGACTTGACGACAAGGACGATGTTGATCGAAAAGGGAGGTAATTTTTCGGTGGCACCGACAACATCATCGACATCGATCGTGGTGGGGATTTAGGAATTTAGGTTATGATTAGGGATTTGGGGTTGATTTTAGATATTTTTAGGGATTTTTAGCTTTTTGTAATTTAAAATAATAGAGGTTTTTTTTATAAATATAATAATATTTTTCAGTTTTTAATTTAAACAAAAATTTTAAAATTTTATTAAGACGACATGTGTCCTTTAACGACAATTATGGCTCGGACACCTAAAGTGGTAACGTTTGTAACGTTAGGCATCTTGATGAATCAAAAAAAGTTTGGCCATCTATTTAGGAAAAACAATATAGTTTAGGCACTTATTTTCTAATTAAGCCAGAAACAAAGAAAGATAAGGCTTAATTAGAAAATAAGTTCCCAAACAATACCACTTTTCCCATGTAGGTGTCCAAATTTTTTTTCGATTCATCTAGGTGCCTAATATTACAAACGTGACCCCTTACCACTTTAGGTGTTTCGGTCATAATAGTCATTAAATTCATCCATTAAAGGAAATGTGTTTTGGTAATTTAAAAAATTTATTTAAAATTAAAATATTGTTGTATTAAACAACCATTTTTTTGAAAAACTAAAAAAAACTTAAAACTTTGAAAAACCCCAATTTCGACCCTAAACTAATGCCGCCTGCCGCCCTTTGTCGTCGATTAACCTTCACCCGATGATTGATAATTCCATGAAAAGCCACTGGAACTAGAGCGAATCGACGTGTGTACCTCGACAAACCCCAATACTACAAATCGTGACCCCACGCAATCCCAACGGCCAATCGACAACAAGGATGATGATGTCTAACTAGCAAGATAGAAAAGACGACATCAGCGGCAAAGGTTGTGGCCAGAAAGGATGACATCGATGGCTTAGGGTTAATGATTTAGGATTTTTAGGGATTTGGGGCTTTTTATAATTTAAGAGAAATTATGATTATTTTTTAAAATATAATAATATTTTTATTTTTTAAAAAATAAAATTTCCAAAATTACTAAAATGTGAAGCATGTCACTTAACCGAGTTTTATAACGGACGTTACGTTCGAGACACCTAAAGTGGTAAAATTTGTGACGTTAGGCACATGGATGAATAAAAAAAAAAGTTTGAGAACCTATTTGAAAAAAAACCTTTATAGTTTAGACATTTATATTCTAATTAAGCCTAAAGATATAAAAGTGATTGGAAATATATAATTTTGATTTTTCAAAGTAGGTCAGCTATATGAGTTTCTTTTAGATAATTACTAATTAAGCTTAACACAAAAATAAGTATACAAACTATACAATTATTCTCAAATTGGTGTTTAAATTATTTTTTGTCTCATCCAGGTGATTAATATTATAAACATTACACATTTATGTGCCTCGGCGTACGTTATAAAACCCTGCTAAGTGACACATGTCACAATTTGATAATTTTGGAAATTTATTTAAAAAAACTTAAAAATATTTTATTTTTTAAAACCCCAACTTTTTTTCTAAAATATTAAAAAAAACCCAAACTCCCTAAATTTCTTATTCTAGTCCCTTTACTTAAACTGGTCATCTCCGACCACCTATCCGTCGACGATCAGCCACCCATAGTTGTCAACATCCATTGATCGGTCATAACCCTAGCTATCATCTCAAAACTCAAAATACTCAATTCATAAAATCCAAAATACCCAACCATAAAATCCAAAATACACAATCCCTTAAATCTCTTTGATTAATCGTAGTAATTGATCGTTTATTTGACTGTAATAGCTGGCCCCTTGGCCATTTGGTCAGTCGTTTGGCCATGAAACTGAAATCACGAGGGGGGTGGGGGAGGGAGAGGAGGGGAGATGCACATGGGTTTTTTTAAATAATAATTTTATTTTTTAAGAAAAAGAAAATTTTAAAATTATAAGATTGTGACATGTGTCACTTACCAGGGTTTTATAATATCTATTATAGACCGGACACTTAAATGAGTAACGTTTGTAACGTTAGATACCTGAATGAGTTAAAAATTAGTTTAGGCACCTATTCGAGAATAACGATATAGTTTGATAAATTATTTTTGATATTAAGCCTCCTAATTATTAGCAAATGTTATATATATTATTAATTAGGTGAAAATTACTTGATACGTCTTTCTATTATAAATCCACTAAAAGTAATCTATTTATTATTTAACATATTAATCTAGATTATATATTTATGCTTTACTTCTTGTTCATCTTTGTTGATCGACATCAACACCAATTTTGATGTTGGTTATTGATTGTCGATATTTTTTATTGTCCTTTTATTTTTTATATCGATTTTTTTATTTTCTTCTTGGTTTTAATTTTCAATAAATATGTCTTAATGACATATTTTTCTGTCTTTTGACACATTTTCTGTTGTTTAGTCGTTTTTTTTTCATTTATATTTCTTAATGATTATTTGACATCGTCACGACTGATCAAGATGGTGTGTATCTGTCATCATGTTAATCTTCCCTACTTTGGACCATCAGATTGTATTCAAATACTTGATTTATGATCGTGGATAGTTTTTTTTTTCACGTCGCTCAACTCTAATTTGTTGTTTTGCCGGTGGTCTTTCAATAGTTTGATCTCCTTTTGTGGTAAGTTTATTGATACGATTAAATCTGTTTGTATATATCCTTATTCGAATTTTGGTTATATTTTTTAAATCTTTTCTTAAATGGTCCGTATGTGATCATAACTTGCAAATTTTATGTCAATAATTTTAGGAAAATGTTCTAATTATATACTTAATTTATGATTATAATTGTAAATTTTCATTGTAAATCTGAATATCTTTCTCTTTTAATAAAATTAACTGCTTCGGTAAAAAAAATCATATATTTATGAAAATTTTTAATATAATTAACATTTATATAAAATAAACGCAATTTATTGTATAGTAGAAGTGATATTTTTGAAGTTTTAATGGTTATGTAAATGAAAATGTTAATGTTATAATATTATTTAAACAATGCATATTAATTGTATTAAAATTTATTCTTATTTATTGGTTTTATTACTTTTAAATTAAATCCCATTTTAAACCAATCTCTATAATGATCTAATAAATATTTTCACATTATTAGTTATCAATTATGAGGAGAATAATTTATATACTAAATCACTTAATTTAATATCACACACCTTTAATTTAAGGGTTAACTACATGGAAAATATGTTTTATCCACTTTTGATCACTGATTTAAAAAAACATAAAATATGGTCACTTTTTTTTAATTTAATTAAGATGTGGTCACCACGAGTTAACTGTCGTTAACAACAGTTAAATATTTTGATAAAATCACACATTTGGTCCCTCTATTTTACACATTCTCTCAAGTTATTCATACTTTTAATAAATTAAAATAAATTTAATCATCCAATCGAATGATGCCACATGTCATGCCACATAGATGTCAACATTTGATCAAGTCGAGTAGAGTAAAAAATGCAAGTTATTTGAGTTAACGAGTCCTATTTTACAACTCAAACTTGACTTGAAATTTTTTAGAGTGAAGTCGAGTCAAATTCTTGAGTTTTTGTTTAAATTTAATTATAAATATTGATATTATTATGATATTATCTGATTCCAATTTAAATGACCTTTAATAACCATATACAATACATGTGTATTTCTTCATATTTTTTTCATATGTGATATACATTTATGATACAGAGTCGAGGGACTCAACTCAAACTTGAAAAATCAATCTACTAATACTAAAATTTTTGAGTTATTTGAGTTGTGTATTATAACTCGGTTTGAACTTGATTTTTTTAGTCGATTTTATGAAATTACAACTCGAAGTTAATTTGAGTTAAGTTTTCAAGATTCGAGTCGAAAAAATTGGTTCTTTGAGTCGAGTTAAATTTTGATCACCCCTAAAGCCAAGTGTCACCGTTCTATTAAAGGATTAACTTTATTTTAATGTAATATATTTATTTTCACCAATCAAAGAGTAACATGTGTCACCTTTTGGTTGAAAGAAAACAAAGGAAAACAAATTGCGAGAATATTTTACTTAAAAATATTTTTTATTTTCATTTAAAAATATATATTTTATGTTAAAATTTGTTTAAAAGTGTGACTAAATTGAGAGAATATATAAATAACAGGGACTAAATGTGTGAATATACTAACTATCACACCACACATCGTGTTAATTGTTAACCGCAGTTAACCCGTGATGACCACGCCTTAATTAAATAAAAACGAAAGTGATCATATCTTATGTTTTTTGAAATCAGTGACCAAAATGGATAAAACAAAAATAAGTGATTTTTCATGTAGTTAACCCTTAATTTAATCAAAGTGCATCATTCAACCTTTATTATTAATAAATTAAGTCAACGATACTAACACAATTAAATAATTCTCAAAACTAACACTTTTACTTAACATATTTTCACGTATCATCATTAAATATGTTTAATTGATAGTTTGAAAAATGTTTTATTATAGTCTTCTCAAACATTTATTTTAAATAAATTCAAGGGGAAAAAATCTAAATTTTGTATAAATCCAAAAAAAAAAAATTCCATTCAATGTTATTTGACGATGATATGTACAAGATATCTTAAGAAAAAATATCAATTTTTTTTTTGTTAGAATTATTTAATTGTATTTGTGTTAGTATAAATAATTTATTTTATTAATAATAAAAGTTGATGATGTAATTTAATTAAGGGTAAACTACTCCAATGGTCACTAATGTTTGAGTAAATTTTTGTTCACTACTGATGTTTTAAAAGTCACAAATCAGTCATTACCGTTATCGTTTGTTATAAATTGGTCACTCGCCGTTAACAAACGTGACGAAAACACACGTGGAAAGTTAACAGTCATACCTGGATTGTATAATTACACAAATAGTCCATATTATTTATATATTCTTTCAATTTGATCCTAGTTTTAATAAATTAAAATATATTTATTTTTAATTCTTATAAATTTTGTTCATTATCGTTTATTTAACTTAATTAGCAAAAAATTCATTGAAGTTTAGGTTAATTTACACTCATAAATTTCAACAAGAAAAAGAAAACATTTGTTAATCAAACTGAGGAAACAACCAAGGATCAATCGAGGGCAAAGAAAACGTAGAAATCCCAGAAAATTTATTCCTAGTATGAAAAAACAATAATCATAGCGCCATGGAGGCACTGGAAACCCCTCTCATCAGCTTCACAAGGAGACGACTGATCATTCCCAAAGATCCAATCACAGCTTGTTTCCTCTTTTCTTCATCTTCCTTGAAACAGTAAACAGGAGCCTGCCATTCAGAATCCTCAAGAACAACTCCCACTTCAAATGTCATTACATGAGCAGTGTACCCTGCACTCTCCATAAAAGTTTTCAATGTTTCTCACAAACAATCAAATGAATGAACTTTAAATTGTTTAAAAATACGCTTTAAAAAAACAATTTAAATAGAATCAAGGGAAGTCGTTGAACTAATACCAGTGTAAAATGCCCAGTAAACAGGTCGCTTAGTGATGACATCTTCATAGTACCAAATGAAGTCGACTTTCTCCCACACATTGCAAAGGAACCCATCTTTATGTTGTTGGCCTAAGTAATTAGCTTTATCGAGCCAATTCGGGCGGAGAACACCGACATCGAAGTGCAAAACTCTGCATTCTTTTTTGGTGTAGATAAAGGAAGTGTCGTTGTCCCATTCCAGGTCGTAAGTGAGCTTACCGAGATGGTTCTGGATAATGTTGAAATTGTGACCATTAGGTTAGTCGTACCAGAGATCAACTTTCTGGAGAGTGCCGCTGTTGTTCATGAAGAGAACGGAGTGGAATTGAAGAGGCCAAGTCGATGGCGTTGGGTCCTTGGGTTTCGATGAGAATGCTGAGAAATGGAATGAAATGAATAGAAGGAAGACGAAGATGGGTTTAACTGCAGAAGCCATTAAATAGGGTGAAGCTGATGAAGGAAAAGAACATCAAACAGAAATATAGATAATGGAGAAAGGATTAGAAATTTTGTTGCTTCTACTTGAATTAAAATCACATTAATTATTTTGTATAAGAATATATTTTAATTTATTAAAACTAGGATTAAATTGAAAGAATACATAAATAACAGGGATTATTTGTGTAATTATACCATCCAGATAAGCCTGTTAATGGCTGTTAACCGTCCACGTGTGTTTTCCGTCACGCTTGTTAACGGCGAGTGACCAATTTGTAACAAACGATAACGGTAGTGATCGATTTGTGACTTTTGAAACATCAGTAGTGAAAACGAAAACTTACCCAAACATTAGTGACCATTGGAGTAGTTTACCCTTTAATTAAATCAAAAGATTATACGACTGATCTAGAATGTAAATTAACCTTATGATTAGTGAGATTTGCCAAACTAATTTATTGAAACAATACTAAAATAAACACGCCATTATCAAACTAAGGCTTCACCTTTTACATGCTCTCATGCAAACGTAGTCTCGAGTATAGTAAAGCAACACAGATTTATTTTATGCTACTATATTGACTAAGAAAATATTCAGAATAAACTTGATTGGAATGTTCAGATCTGCGCTCTCTTTTCCTTTCCCCTCCTTCTGGGCTTATCTGCTGCCTTCTTGCCTTGGTGTTCGACGACATCTGAGATATCCAAATGGACGCCTGGATCATTCGCATTATAGCTGCTGCCCAACATGATTGAATTGTTAACTGCTTGGAAATTGCTGTTCACATATGTACTCGGTGCATCACCCTCATCTCCAACCGAAATCCCATACCGGTGATCGGATTCCTCGTCCATCTCGCTTCTCATTGTGGCCCCGACATTGGTCCCGGCGAGTTTGATAATTCCGGCACCATCATCATCAGCGCCACCACCTTCAAGGCGGCGAGTTATGGAAGACACCATGTCTTTGATTTCTTTGTTCAAGTATCTGTGTTTATCACCTTCACCGGTGGACTGGCCATCAGGCTTGCTTGTCTCGAGAGGCATGGTCTTGAGGTAAAGGAAGGTTCGTGTTTGATGGGGGAAAAGAATATGACTTGGGAATTGAACTCAAACTGGAAACATTAAGATATAGTGTTTGACGGAATAAAGAAGTGACTTGCATTGAAATCAAGGGATTTTAATGGATTCCCTTCTTAAAGGAAAGGGTTTGCTTGAGAATTGGTTAAACCTTTTGTAAATCTAACGCTCTTTGATTTGAAGGGAAAGCATCATTCATTCAAAGAAAGCTTTTTTAGAACAGAGGACAACACTCAAAATAGGACATTTTGACTATGTCATATTCTCTCCGAACAGTTGGTCAAAATCAATTCTACATAGGTATAGGATCAAAAAGCAACGACATGGCGTGAGGTTTGGTCTCGTGGTTTTGATAACCATGTCCATCTCCATGTTGATAAAAACAATGGGCACTCCTCACCAGATACACCATGGTTCCCGTGACAGTGTTGGATAACTGGCAAGCAGCACCTCGTTGCACATTTATCTTCTTCCATGCCTCTCTCATTAGATTCTTAATATGTTGACGTGCACCCTCGTCCGAGACTCCATGTTCATGCATGTAACATTGGATAGATTTGGCAACATCACCTCTCTTTAGTTCCTCCTGAATTACAAGTGAAATGTGATCAGTCCATAGAATTCAAAGCTCGTCTGTCTAAAAACAGGGATCTTACCGATGACGTTCCTTAATCATCTTGAAGTGAAAAATCACCGATGACCAATATAATAACTCAGGGTAGCTTTCAAGGAATTCTAATTCCTTCTGGTTTATTTGATTTGTTACAAATAGACTTGAATTAAGTGTCACTACAGGAATTCTAATTCCTTCTAATTCCTTTTGGTTCATGTACTCTTCAAAACTTGGTGTGTATCCACTTTGGTACCATCTTGCCTCCAACAAGTAGGCTCTCAGTAAATCAACCCACTGAAGCCATAAGCAGAGCAGAAGCGTTCTTATTTATGAAAATTTATGGATTTTCTTTAAATTGTATGAAATTTATCGTGGAGAAGATAACATTACTGCATTTTTAAGATTCAACACAACATCATGACCTTGCTTCTTGATAATGTCAAAAGCCATCTCATTAACTGTGTTGTAAAGTACAAGGAAGCAGATCTTCATATATTCTGGATGTTTTTTCATTGCCTTAATGTCCCACCTGAATCATGTAAATAGGAGAAACAAGTCATTAAATCCTCTCCAAAGGTCAATGGTAGAGATGCCAGAATAAATTTCTACCAACCTCCCCGATGGCATCGGTGAATAGCTCGAGTTCATTCACTGTACCGTAGACGTCGTAAACATCATCTATGACCGTGATAAGTGCAATGGCCTTTGTAACAACTTTCCGAAAGCTTCCAAACCGAGGCTCGAAAGCCATCCCCACTGCCCACAAGAAGGATTTTACCAATCTATTCCAGGTAAAGCTCAACTTCTCCCCAAGACCAGTGTGATTCCACCAGCTTGATTTGCGGGCCAGTTGAAGGACATGAAAACTAAATTAGCTTGATGTTTTAAAAGGCATCTTGTTAAGTTGATATGTCCTGGTCTATAGGTGGTGTACCTTGACAAATCTTTGAGTTCTTCTTGGTGCAGGCCTTGTGAAACGTTGAAGTCCAACTTCGCTAGGTTTAATGCAGTGGGTTGAAGTTGGCTCTTCCTTCATATATATCCATGTACCAACTTGCTTCCAACCTTGGCATTCTCCAGCGTAGCGGAAGCTCCAGGGCATGGCTGACTTGTAAGGCCAGAATCGGATCGACACAATCAACCTTATTGACATGTTTAGACGTGGAATGCCAAGCTTCCTCCATGATGCCTTCTCCTTCGAAACTGTGGTATGAAGCTTCATACAAGCTCAGCATTGCCTTGATATCATTACATAGAGATGCCCTGAAATTGCCTGTCTTGTCCCTAAAACTGTCAAAAATTGCCTGTCTTGTCCCTAAAACTGTCAAAAACTTCTGCAGTCGACCAAAACCAGTTATCACAAACGCCCCAGACAAGAATTTCATTTATATTTTCACTCTAAATTACAAAAATCATTAATTAGTAAGGGAGAAGAATGATATCCATGTTCCCTGAGGAGCCTAAATTTCAAAGAAGTTGCATATAAATTATCTTTTTTCATATGATTGTTGTCGCTGTTCTTGTAGATATTCCCTAAAATGTTGTGAATCTCAGCATGAAAATGATAAGCCACTCCAAGCCTGAGCAGGTTGTCGATCATCTCGAGTTGATGCAATGTCTCATCACCTTCCACATAGTTTAGCATCATCTTCGCTTTTCCTTTCGGCTCTTCTACTTGCATTACATACTCATCTCCCTGAAAATTGAATAGTTTAATCAGTGACAAAATTTACTAAGCTACTAACTGTTGGGAAAATCGGGTTATTTCCCACACAAACGTAGTTTTAAAATTGACCTAAAATGTCAAGATCAAAACCACCAAAGGTTGCACAGCGGATAAATCTGTCAAACTATTGGATATTGAAACACAATGGAAAAACCGAATAAAAAACAATAAAGGAGAGAACACACCAATTTTACGACGTTCGACGAGAATATCGTCTACTCCTCGGGTACCACACTAGATGATAACTTCACTATATTGCCAATATTACAACAAATGGAATTCTTTTAGAATTCCCAAAGTGGGAGAATGAAGAATACAAGAGGAAGAGAGAACTTGTTTTTGGGATGATTTCTAATGAAATACTTAAGCCTATTTATAGTTGAGTTTTAAGGACTAAACTTATAAATAACCTAATATTTTAGAGATTAAACATGAAAAATAAGTTGGTCACCTACCAAAGAATTTTCCAATGTGTAAAAGTTAGCCACCAAATATGAAATTCTCATGTTCAAAGTTTGGCCACCAACCAAGATGAAATTTCCAACTTGCCAACTTAATTTCAAGCCAAATCTAACAAATCTCCACCTTGGCTTGAAATTACCAAGCCTACTCAACTTCTTCAACTCCCCAAATTTGTAGTGCCTCTAATTGTGTTCACAAGCGCCACACACCCGAAGGTGTTCATACTTTCAGGATGTTAATCAAGTTCAAACAATTATTGAACTTGATTACTGTTACCACCTTGGTAATCATATCTGCAGGATTTTCTGATGTCGCATCTGAAGTAGAATCTTTCCTTCTTCAAAGATCTCTCGCACAAAGTGATATCTCACGTCGATATGCTTAGTCCTTGAATGGTAGACTTGATTTTTTGCTAAGTGAATAGAGCTCTGACTGTCACAATAGAGACTAATGTGACTTTGAACAACTCTCAAGTCTTCCATCAACCCGTTAAGCCAAATTGCTTCCTTTACAGCCTCTGAAACTACCATGTATTCTGCCTCTGTAGTAGACAAGGCCACCGTAGATTGTAATGTAGACTTCCAACTTATTGGGGCTTTAGCAAGAGTAAACAAATACCCAATAGTTGATCGACGCTTATCCAAATCACCAGCATAATCGGGAATCAGCATATCCAACCACACACTGACCAAGTGCTTCATCCTGTTCAAAAACTAAACCAACATCCACGGTTTGTTGGAGACACCGTAGAATCTATTTCACAGCTTGTCAATGTCCTTCTCCAAGATCATGCATATACCTGCTCACAACTCCAACTGCTTGTGAAATATCAGGACGCGTACACACCATTGCATACATCAAGCTCCCAACTGCATTAGCATATGGAACTTTTGCCATATACTCTCGTTCTTCGTTAGTTTTTGGAGATAATTGATAACTAAGTTTCAAATGAGAAGCCAGTGAGATACGTACATGTTTGGTATTTTCATTCATGCCAAAACATTGTAATACATTTCTCAGATACTGCTTCTGTGTTAAACAAAGCTTCCCTCTCTGTCTATCTCTGCTTATCTCCATACCAAGAATCTTCTTGGCCTCACCTAGATCTTTCATCTCAAACTCTTGATTCAACTGAGCCTTTAATTTGTTTATCTCTATTTGACTCTTCGAAGCGATCAACATATCGTCAACGTACAAGAGAAGATAAATGAAAGATCTATCTTTGAGCTTTTGCAAATACACACATTGATCATATTTGCTTTCTAGTGTATTTTTGCCTCCTCATAAAGCTATCAAATCGCTTGTACCACTGCCTCAGAGATTGCTTCAATCCATATAGCGATTTGTTCAGCTTACAAACCCATTTCTCACAACCACCATCTTTGTATCATTCTGGTTGAGTCATATAGATCTCATCTTCTAAATCACCGTGCAAGAAAGCCGTCTTTACATCAAGTTGAGCTAGCTCCAAATTCAACTGTGCTACCAAGGCCAACAATATTCTAATGGAGGAATGCTTCACAACTGGGGAAAATACTTCATTATAGTCAATTCCCTCCTTTTGAGCGTAGCCTTTAGCTACCAACCGTGCCTTGTAGCGAACATCTTTCTTGCTATGAGATCCATCTTTCTTTGAAAATACCCACTTGTATCCAATTGCTCTTTTACCTTTCGGTAATTGAGCCAGTTTCCAAGTGTTGTCCTTTTGGAGAGATTGCATTTCTTCATCCATGGCACTTTTCCACTTATCACTTTCCAAGCTTTTTATTGCTTTTTGGTAAGTGATAGGGATATCATCATCAACAACTGGAAGAGCATAGGCCACCATATCAACAAATCGAGAAGGTCTACGAATTTCTCTCATTGGCCTTATAACTGCAAGTGGTTTTGATGTCTCTAATGGTTCTTGGGTTTGAACTTCTTCATCTCCTGATTCTTCTATTGGAGTTGAAGAATCAATTGCATCAACTTCTGGGATCATCGTCTACTGAAACTCCACCTGTTTTGGAGTATGCTCCACCTGCTGCGGAGTACTACTTGTCTGGACAGCTTCATTTGTTACCTTCTTTACTAGGGCAGATTCATCAAATGTAACATCTCTGCTACAAATTATCTTCTTGGTGTCTAAAACCAAATGCGGAATCCCTTCACTCCATGAGTTATTCC